AGACTCGGCGCGAGGTGGCGTGGTAAAACTGCCAACCAGACGCGTCCGGGACAAAGCCGAGGAAGACGCAGGGAACAGCACGGGAGGAGAGCTTGTCCGCAGACGAATCGCGGACAAAAGCTCGAGAACCCCAGACCCGGAAACGCGACGCATCGCCAACCTCCCCCGTCCACAGCAGCGTGGGCGAGGTCTCCGGCAAGGAGACACGGGGCGAGAGGTTGAGCTGATGCGCACCGTACCGAACCGCAAACGGCCACAGAAAGTGGGGGGCAGCCGCATGGATCAAGGAGGTACGGGCGACCTCCATGACCAGGCCAATGCGGCGCTCCGCAAACCCATTCTGCTGTGGAGAAGCCGGAAGCGTGAACGACTGCTCAATGCCGTGCTCAGCATAGTAGGCTGCCAAGAGGTCGGAGGAGAACTCACCACCTCTGTCAGAGTGCAAGCGCAGGACAGGAAAGTCCGAGTGAAAACGCTCGCTGAGCTGGAGACGGGCTCTGCGGATCCAAGGGATCAAGACATCAGGGACCTCACCCTTGGTGCGCAAGGGGAAGACCGAGGTGTAGCGCGAGTAGTCGTCAACAACTATCAGGAAGTACCTCTCCTGACCCTGACCACGGACGCGGGCTGGGCCCCACACGTCCATGTGGAGTGTCTACAAGGGAGCAGTCGTCGGGGGGAACGAGGAGGAGTGAGGAGCGGCGCGCTGCCGTCCCTCGACACAGGGGACACAGGTAGGAGCAGGCGAGGGTGGGAGGGCAGGAAGGACCCTGGGCAGGCCAGAGACAAGGTACCGGGAGTGCATGGCACGAAGCCGTTGCACAGACGGGTGGCCAAGGCGGTGGTGCCAGAGGACAGTCTCGTGTGCCAAAGAGCGACACGAGCAGGGGGCGGACAGCTGACCTGACGCGGACGCGAACGCAATCGCAGCAACCTGAGGGGACTCAGTAGTCAGTGTGTACAGGTCCGACCCCGGCTGCCGAGTGAAGGTAGCCAAGTGACGGCCCGTACGAGCACACGTGCAGTGTGTCACGCGCTCGTAGGCAGGGGTGAACTGGTGAACACCCCCGTCCTGGAGTGCACATCCTGCCACCAAGTTCGTAGAGAACGAGGGGAGGTGGAGACCTGACAGTGTGCCCGACGGGACCGCAGGGCAGGGAAGGACAGTGGAAGAGGTCGCAATGACCGTACCCCCAGAGGGGTCAGCAAGGGAGACAGCAACTGGCCCAGTAAGCGGCTCAAGGGCAGTGCGGTCACGAAAGAAGCAGCGAGAAGCACCTGAGTCCAGTGTGAAGGTGTGCAGTGCGGCAGTCGACGCAGTACCAAGGGGGGGAGACACACGAGCACCTAGAGCAGCAGCCTCACCAGCACCTGGGGTAGCCGACACGCGAGTACCTGGAGCGGCAGACGCACTGGCCCTAATGCCCGCGTCGGGCGGCACACACAAGTACTTAGCACCCTCTCCACTAGTAGACATCACATACATGGCAGATAGAATAGCATCAAATTCTAGAGCATAGATATCAATCCCCTTCTTCAGGAGATCAAGCCAGCGGGGCAGCTCAGTGGCCTGAGGGAACTGAACACGCCAAGCGTCGTCGAGACGAGAGAAGGAGCGCTGTGTGGCGTGCGGTCTCCACACTGCTGACCAGTGCGGTCACCAGTGCGAATGATGTACGTGCAGCTAAGACCACCCCCACCCCCGTGCTGAGAGTACCACTCACGGACCTCCTGGGGCGAGGGAGTGTGCTGCTGGCCCTGGCCACCGCCAGTGCCTCCACGGCCACCACCACCGCTGCCACCACCGCTGCCACCTCCTTGACCACCCCAACCCCTGCCGCCGCCTCGTCCACCGCCACCCCAACCGCCGCCTCCACTCCTGCCACCTCCCCCGCCGCTGCCGCCACCACCCCCACCGCTACCACTCGCCCCTCCAGCCGAGCCACCAGCCCCACTGCCTCCACCGCCCCCACCGCCGCCTCCCCCGCCGTCACCGCCACCACCCTTGCCCCCTTTGCCCTTGCCGCTGCGGCGTCCGCTCAAGGCAGACGCAGCGCCGACCTTCTCAGTACCAAGAAGGTCGACAGCAGTAGTAGAGGCGACAGAGGGAAGAAGGGGGGAAGGAGAACACCCCTCAAAGAACGGGTTACGGGGGTCGCCAGGAGAGGCACCTACAGCGACTATGCTAGTCTCAGCTGCAAGTAGCTCCTTCTCGAGGAGGGCAATGGTGAGCTCAGTGGGGCAACGAGCTAGGAAGTGGTCCCTGACAGCACGCAGTGTGTCAGGGAGGCGGGTGACTAGGTGGTAGAGAGTGAGCCAGAGTGGAGGGGGGTGCGTGGCAAGGAACTCAGCAGGCATGGCGGCACGGAAGCGGGCCTCACTAGTACGGAGGTGCGTGATGAGGTCAGCGACTGTGTGAAAGGAGGCCAGGTCGGGAAACAGGTAGGGGAGGGAGAGACGGCCTAGTGCGGCACAGGCAGGTGAGGAGTAGCGAGCAACTACACCTGTGTACAGTGCCTGTGCAATCTTGTGCTGACCAAAGTGCTCGCGTTCGTCTATCGGCAGGGAGTTGCGAATGGCGAAGCGAGCGTGGGCATCACGAGTCTGCCACTGTGAGCGAGCAGTGCTGTCAGCAGTAGCAGCAGGGGCAGTGACATGGCCTAGGGCGTGATCGTACAGTGAGATGTCATCCTTGGCTGTGAGCTGTAGGTAGAGGTGCAGGTCATCGAGCCAGGTGTCAAACTTCACAGGGCGGCCCTCAGCATCGAACACGAGAACCTGTGGGCTAGCCATAGGAACAGTAGAAATAGCAGCAGTAGCAGTAGGAGAAGCAGGTAGGACGAACCAGGTAGGGCAGGGCGGCGCGGCTCGGTTCAGGTCGGGTCGCGGCTCGGCTGGGTGGCGCGGCTCGGTTCAGGGCGCGCGGCTCGGGTCACGGCGGGGACGGGCCGCCCGCTCTCCCTCGTGTGCTGCGGCGGGAACGGGCCGCCCGAGACCTCTAGGTGGTGGGCACGGGTCGGCGAGGTCGGCACGGGGCCGGTTGGGGCCCTAGAGGGGCGAGCGCGGGCCCGATCGGGGCCTGAGCGGGGCTAGCGCGGGGCCAAACGGGGCCTTGACGGGGCTAGCAAGGGGTCGACGGGGCCTGAACCAGGCTCGCGCGGGGCCGACGGGGCCTGAAACGGGGCTAGCGCGGGCCCGATCGGGGCCTGAATGGGGCTAGCGCGGGGCCGACGGGGCCTGAGAGGGGCTAGCGCGGGGCCGACGGGGCCTGAAACGGGGCTAGCGCGGGCCGACGGGGCCTGAGAGGGGCTAGCGCGGGGCCGACGGGGCCTGAAACGGGGCCAACGGGGCCTGAAACGGGGCTAGCGCGGGCCGACGGGGCCTGAGAGGGGCTAGCGCGGGGCCGACGCGGCCTGAAACGGGGCCGACGGGGCCTGAAACGGGGCTAGCGCGGGCCGACGGGGCTTGAGAGGGGCTAGCGCGGGGCCGACGGGGCCTGAAACGGGGCCGACGGGGCCTGAACGGGGCCGCTAGGGAGAGCGGGCGTGGGGCCGACGGGGCCTGAACGGGGCTAGCGCGGGGCCGTCAAGAGGGGCCTCTAGGGGCGTGACACGCCGAGGCGCCCTAGGGCACAGGTAGGTAGGTAGGTAGGTAGTTACGTAGTGGTGGGCCCTTAGAAAATTTCGGTCCTAGGAAGGACCTGCTCTATACCATGTTGGAATCACTGAACAGGAATGGATGAACTAGTAGTGAAATGAGTACAAGTACCTAACCCTAGAATTGTGTACCCCCTATAGGCTAACCCACTGTAGCCTAAACTAACACAACATATATAATGTTTGACATTAGGAGCACAGACTGGAGCACAGAACGAAGCACATCGCTCTGCGTTACTTTCTTGCTCGAGAGCTGCAGCAGTGTGGCCAGCTTCGTCTTGCTTACGTGGCCACTCGGGCCAACACTGCTAATATATTCACCAAGGCGCTTCAGCCTGGTGATCATCAGCGTTTCTGCACTTTGTTAGGCCTTGTGCCCACGCTTCCTCACTTGCTGTAGGATTTGTTTGTACTGTGATCTATATGTATATCTGCATGCTTGCTCTTGTAGGTAGAGATCATTGTGCTGTTGTTGTTACATACATATCTCTGCAGGTGAACTGGCCTTGTGGCCTTTTGCTTGTGCTCAGACTGCATAGTGACGTTGTGATCCACCCTGAGCTTGCTTTGCTTCTCTTGACTGGTCTTGTGACCCCTTGTTCTCCCCCACTTTGCCTATGGGGGTGTGTCAAAGTATATGAATTTTATATATGTGTAGGCTGTAGTGGGGTAGCCATTATGGGGCACAACCTCTTTTAGGGTTTCATACTTGTACCCAACTTTTCCGTAGTTTATTCTTTCCTGCTGCTAGATTCTAACAGCATCAACCCTAAATCCATGCCTCCCCGTGTTCAGGGTTGATGCCTCCCTGACCGGATGCATGCCCTTCTGGGGTTTATGTTTTTTGCCCGCGGGCAGGAGCTCCCCCAGACGGAGTCGCTTGTCCGCTGAGATATATTCGGCCGTATGTCCAGAATCTAGATGGGCGTTTTGTGGGATACCCTAAATCTTCGGGTTCCTTTTCTGGGTATTTACTAAGTCCTATCCGTCTGTGGTGTATCATTCATAATACCGTTTTAGCACATAATTTTCCTGCGTTATGAAACAAGAATTGTGAAACATAATTTGACATGGTTGTCGAGGTAAATGTGCTACCGGTATTGACAGCATTGTTTCTCGTGTAGAACCCAACCATCAAACCAAATACTGGTACATGCTCAACCTCAACCAGTCCTATGTCTATTTTTCACAGTTCTAGCCCTACAGGTATATGAGATATTGGTATGTACAGCCACCGAATGCATACATCATTAGTGCAGTACCATGCATGGAGTCCCTATGTTACATATTCTGTTCCTGTACAACCTCTCTTACATGTACCCTCCTTCTCTACACCACACCCAGCTACTCTTCCTTCCTCCCATCCTGCATGCATTTCCTTGCACGGAACTCCTTATCCCCATCTTTGAACGTGCCCACCATCCGATCCCACCAAGTGAAATACAGGGACCGATTATAGCGAGGATCCAGGTGGTGGAGGAAGTGCGTGGTGGGGCGCTGAGCCCAAGGAGTGAGCAGAATGCCGAAGGAGAGAGGCACAAAGACCAAGGGGGGAAGTTGGTAGGCACAATGGCCCATGGTGTTGACCATGCCCACTGGGATGAGGGCCAGGGCTAGCTCCAGGGGACGCCAGGAGGGTAGGGAGTGGAGGAGGAGGACGAAGAGCATGTAGAAGGCCGACCAATCTAGGATGAACTCGAAAGGGTCTGTGGAGAGAAGAGGGGTGGTTGGGTGGGGGTGGGGGGAGGGACACAGAGGCTGCGTGAGAGGATTCAGAGCAGGATTACCAGGCAGGGCGAGAAGGAAACAGATCCACTGCTCGAATCTGTTTGTTTTCTTTGGTTTAATTTATTAACATACGGTACTAAAACCGCAGTGTGAAGAGGAACTCCAGGAGCTAGCTAATCCAGTAGCCATAAAGAGAATTGCCTCATCACCGTACCAAAATTGCCAGAAGAGGTTGCAGCAGAGATTGCTCACCGGCATTGGAGGTGGAAAATACACCAAGGTCCGTGGTGGTGCGGTGGTGCATGGCATGCAACGCGCGGTACAGCGTCTTATTCACGTGCATGAGCGAGTGCGTCCAGAAGAACCACGCATCATGTGCCACCATGATACCCCACGCCAGCACCCACGTGGGCAGCACACGTGGGGGAAACACCAGCTCAGCGCGTGCGACGATACCCTCCCAGAGGTACCCAACGAGGAAAAAGAGTGGGAGGTGGGAGACGAAGACGGCGAGGAAGTTCTGCCGGGTAAAGTGCGTCAGGCGGAAGGGCACGTTGGGGATGATTCGGCACACGCCGAGAGATGGAAATCGGTGCTCCAGCAGTGTGAGGAGGTGATAGAGGAAGGTTTCTGCAACGAATTGGGCGAGAGTTGCAGCTAAGGCGCCGAGAACAGCGATGCAGCAGCAGGTCAGGAGTTCCGATAGACCTCTGTTGTTGGAACCATTTGATGGGGTTGCTGTTGCCACCATGTCACCTGCCATTGCTGTCTGCGGAAGAACCCTTAGGAGTAGCCCAGTTAGTGAAGTGAGTTTTCCTGGATTTGAATCTCCTTGGTTGAGTATTTCCGAGTGGAACGGAACATTAGCCTGATCGGCGTGCACGGAGCTGGAGCTACTACTAGTACTGGCGGCGGATCTGGCTGAATCGCCCTGACTGCTGGACATATGAGATTGCGGTTGCCATGGTGATGGGCCATCTGCTCCAAGAGATGTCCACGATTTGAAAAGGGCTGCAGGAATTCCGGATGCAGCCATGATTCCGCGGCAGCAGCAGGGGCAGAAGCGAAATGAATACTTGCAAGCACGAGAACTCTTCCTCGTAGTACCACCAGCTCTGCTATTTCTAGCCGCGAGGGACGGACATGTAAGCTCAGCAGATAGGATCAATCGGTCACGACGTGTAACCCCAAGTTCTGAGTCACAGCAGCTCAACTGGTCGTGGGAGCGCTGCTAAATTACTCTCGTGTGTTCGGACAGGAGGAATTCAGTCTTCGGGGCGCTCCGGCAAGAAACGAATCGCCACTGACACCCACTGCCGCAGTGCGGCGCTGCTCTGGCTTGAGCGAGTTTCTCGATGGCGTGACACGATCATCATGACGATCGCGAGGATCGCGATAAGCAGTGAAGGTTCCAGAGTGAACCACGGCTTCCATTGAGTATTCGTGAGATGACACGCGTTTGGTAGGTGCGCGCCAGCAGCTACCTTTGCTTTCCTGGCTGTGCTGGCAGAGCGTGGCTCGGACAGGAGAATCGGAGCGCGCGACGCCGAGTGTGAAGCTGGATGAAGAGCTAACTGCTGCTACTAGTCCGGATTGCCTTGCCACAGTGGGGCGCGGATAATTTTCTAACCACGGATTCCAGCTTGGAAATTTATATATGTTTCCTGGCATGCATGCAGTGCGTTTGGAGCCCCGATATTCCCTCGACTGCAACGTGATGGGGGCGCGAAGCTGCTAACTTTTGTTAGGGCGTGTAAAATTGTAACGACCTAACCCATTTTCCGCCCTTTGCGTGTTTCTGGCGATTGCGAAATGATGTAACGTGTAAGCGATCCCCGCCAGAATTTTCGCGAGCGCGGTGGGCATCCGCCACAAACCATTCCCGTAATTGAAAGCGAAATATATTTTTCTTACTACTGCATTCGAACGGGGAAAGAATATAGGGGCCTAGGAGGCCTAGACAATAGTGTTTAATAAAGCATTAAGCTTAGGCGAGCATAAAGGTTTTACTCCTCGCTGAGGAAACGAATCTAAGTAGGTCCCTAAATTCAGTGAGTCCAATTTCTATGCAGAATACCCCTGCTATTTGGTAAAATCGAGGAGACTACTCTAAACGACGTAACCCTAATTCCTCGCAATCGCCAGAAGCGCCCAAATGAACAGCCATAGCGTCTGGTCGTTAAAATTTTACACGCCCTTGCGATTGCACATGTGACAGAACTCATTACTCATCATGAGGAAAAAAATCTAAGCGACGGACGAAATGGAGAGCACTGATTCTAGTAACGGGCTACGGTAGAGCGTTGTACGCGTTATGGAGCTGCGCGGGTTCGAGGTTTAGGGTAAGGAATCCGGACTACGACATTCCTTGGAGTGTAGGGAAACCGTAGAAAATGAATTTCATTGACAACGCCACGAATGTGACAGGCTAGCTACTTCCAACAAACCCTGGACAAAAGCTAGATCAAGCATGGTGTAGAAACACCAAGAAGACCCATTGTGGTTCCATCTAGAGCAAAAACGCTGCAATCATCGAGAGTACCAGGGCCATGGAGCTTCCATACAAGGCAAAAGTACCAGCACCTGGACAGTCACAGGAGAAAAAAAAAAAGAAAAAAAAAAAAGAAAAAAAAAAAAACAATAACAACAACAAAAAGAGGCGACGAAATGGTCTAAGGGTTGCGAAGCTGTTTTGCAAAAACACATATTTTATCTGGTTTAGAACTTATACACAACTTGATGCTTGTAACTTTAATGTTGTTCGTTCTGTATGGGTTTGTAAAATGGTTGTACAAAGTATCAAGCCCTACACCTTCCGATAACGGGACAACCTACAACGATTGCGACAGACGCGCTATTTACAACCTATGAAATATTATCTTTATTGTGAGTTCAAAAGCCGTTTGTAGATTCAAAACTTGATGTTTCGAACCTGGAACCTCTCAATTGCTCAACCATTTTCTGCCGTCTGACCAAGGCATCTACGATGTACAACTGTCGCAATTGATTATATAATTATTATTGCGACGGGATTGAACCAGCCCGAAGGTTTCAATTTCTCCTTTTCTTCTCTGACGTCCCCTCGCTGGTGGAGCTTGGTTGACACCCGCCCCTCAATAACGATCTAGTACCACGATAAGGTGAGAAACGTTCTAAGCTATTTAGGACTAACTTAGATGATTATAAGCTAGACTAAGACTAACGTAAGAAATAAGCGCGACGAATTTGACGCTACTTTAGGGTTTGAATGCTCTTTTTTTCCTCCCTCCCTTTCCTCTCGCTGCTAGAGCTTTTCCCAACGTACACCCTCTAGTGACGCTGCTCCTACCTACCACAAATAGGTCAGAACCCTAGGCTATTAAGTAGAAGTAAGTTAGTTGTTAAAAGCTAGATTAACTATAATCTCGTATCCTAGTTTTAATCACGTGTCATTAGATTCTAAGCTCTTAGTTTAGGTTTCAACATTTCATGTAATCTTTTGGCTAAACTGAGCTGAGCATGTGATTGTCTTTTAGTTGTCAACGGTCCATGATATAGTTCGTTAGATCTTGCTGTTATGACATGTTTAGAACCCTATGCACGTCATCTGTGCTTGTCAGAACATTATAGCTTATACATTTGTGTAGGCTGTAGTGGGGTAGCCCATATGGGGTACATCCCCACTAGGGTTAGTACTTGTACCCAACTCTTTCATAATTCATCCATCCATTCTCACTTCTCGTCATGGTATCGAGCAGGTTCCCGAGTGGGAATACTGCCTAGGGCCCATCACTTACTTTTTTCTCCTCTACCCGGAGCGCGCTTACCTCCTAACCCGAGTAGCGCCCCCAGACGCCTTTTGGACGCCCTTACTGCCCCTCGAGCCGCCCACCGTTGGCCCCGCTACGGCCCCGTTGGCCCCGCTTAGGCCCCGTCGGCCCCGCTTAGGCCCCGTCGGCCCCTCACTTCGGCCCCGTCGGCCCCGCTTAGCCTACCGTCGGCCCCGCTTAGGCCCCGTCGGCCCCGCTATAGCCCCGCTTAGGCCCCGCTACGGCCCCGATTGACCCTGCTTAGGCCCCGTCGGCCCCGTTGCGGCCTCGCTTAGGCCCCTTCGGCCCCACTTGGACCCCGTTGCGGCCCCGCTACAGCTCCGCTACGGCCCCGTCGGCCCCGCTTAGCCCACCGTCGGCCCCGCTTAGGCCCCGTCGGCCCCGCTGCGGCCCCGCTTAGGCCCCGTCGGCCCCGGTGCGGCCCCGCTTAGGCCCCGTCGGCCCCCACTTCGGCCCCGTTGCGGCCCCGCTACAGCCCCGCTACGGCCCCGTCGGCCCCGCATAGCCCACCGTCGGCCCCGCTTAGGCCCCGTCGGCCCCGCTACAGCCCCGCTTAGGCCTCGCTACGGCTCCGTCGGCCCCGTTGCGGCCCCACTTAGGCCCCGTCGGCCCCCACTTCGGCCCCATTACGGCCCCGCTACAGCCCCGCTACGGCCATGTCGGCCCCGCTACGGCCCCAGCTACGGCCCCGTCGGCCCTGTTGGCCCCGCTACGGCCCCACTTCGGCCCCGTCTGCCCCTCTTAGGCCCCGTTGCGGAGCCCGCTACTGCCCCGCTACGGCCCCGTCGGCCCCGCTACGGCCCCGCTAAGGCCCCGTCGGCCCCACTTTGGCCCCACTGCGGCCCCACTGCGGCCCCACTAAGGCCCTTGCTACGGCCCCGTCCCGACCGCCCGAATCGCCGAGCAACCAAGCCGCCAGGCAGCCAAGCCGCCCAGCAGCCGAGCCGCCCGACAGCCGAGCAGCCCAGCACCATGCAGCCGAGCCGCAAAGCAGCCGAGCCGCCCAGCAGCCGAGCCGCCCAGCAGCCGGGCCGCCCAGCAGCCGAGCCGCCAGTGCAGCCGAGCCGCCCGGCAGTCGAGCCGCCCTGCAGCCGAGCCGCCGAGCAGCCCGATAGCCCCACCTGCCTGGTAAGAGCTCAATCTCTGCCTCACTGCGCTGACTGCCTGCCTACTGCTGTTATGGCTTCCCCTAGCGTTCTCACTTTTGACGCTGAGGGTCGGGCAGTGGACTTTGAGGTCTGGGTAGATGATCTACAGCTTTTTTCTGCAGTGCGATAGGGCAGACGGCCTCTCCCTGTTTGACCTCACTTCTGGTGCCTCCCCTGCCCCTGCTGCTGATGCTGACGCCACTGTTCGCTCACAGTGGGCCACACGTGATGCTGCTGCTCGCCTTGCTGTTTGCAGCCACTTACCGACCACTGAGCGTGCGCACTTTAGCCAGTACAAGAGTGCTCAGACCTTATACGACGCTGTAGTTGCACGCTACTCTTCCCCTGCCACTGCTGCACTAAGCCGCCTCATGCTTCCCTTCCTCTTCCCTGACCTTGCTGCCTTTCCCACAGTCGCTGACCTCATTACGCACCTCCGCACTCTTGAGACTCGCTACCGCGCTGCGCTTCCTACTGAGTTCTGCGCCAAGAACCCCCCCCCCCATGTACATCACCCTATACTACATAGTGACCCAGCTCCCTGACTCTCTGCGCGTAGTCAGGGACCACTTCCTCTCTGTTTGCCCCACCACTCTCACCGTTGACCTCCTCGAGAAGGCCCTTTTAGCGATAGAGAAGAGCATAGTCGCTGTAGGAGCCTCTTGTGGTGACCCTCGCACGCCCGTCTTTGAGGGGCGTTCTCCCTCCCCCCTCTTGCCCTCTGTTGCCTCTGCTGCTGTGGCCGACCTCGTTGGTTTCGAGTCAGTCGGCGCTCCGTCTGCCTCGAGTGGGAGACGCTGCACCGG